GACTAATGGTCACCGTTTTTCTCAATTTTACAGTGAAGATAAAAAATTACAAAAACATGATGCTTCAAGATACTATTCTTATTGTTGAGTAGCAGTGAAATCCAGCATTCATGTTTTTGCTTGTATGTAAGACGACTACTCAGGCAATATGTTATTTATTTTAACCTTACTGTTGGTTTTTGTTAACTGTAACCTGTATTCGGCATTGGTCTTTTCAGATTTAGCAGTGCTATCAAATTAACTTCTACGATCACCACTTTCTTTGATGTCTTTTGCTTGTTTTACACATAACCAACCACTGTTCGTGATTGGTTAAAATTAAAAAAGATCATATTTACAGTCCTCATCAACTCTAGTTTATTTTGTAATAGTTTATTTATCCCGTTGATATTTCGAATGAATTTTGATTAGTCTTAGTTGGCATATATGAATCCTGTGTGGAATACCTCTATAGAAACATTATGGCATATGTTTATGCATAGAATAGATGAAATGTAGTTAGGAGTGGGATTCAGAGCTGGAGTTTCGACTTGTATACGACTCGTAAAATGTATGTGCTTCCATTCTAGAGTTGGTGTTCACCCCAGGGTTCAGACCCAATACCATTCACTTTAAACGTCAGTGGGTTATCCGCTTCCACTGGATTACTGAGTCCAGATAGCAATCTACTTTTGTAACGGGTATTTCCGATTACTGCTTATACTCTTACTACCTCTACCTCTACGGGATTTGAATCGACAACTGCATCTCTGGACTAATGTGGTATGGCAACTCGAACTGGTGTACATAGGTACAAAGTTCTACATTTTTACTGACTGACTGACTTGCAACCGGTATGAATTTTAATTTTATCTGTTACGTTTGTAGTGATCCCGTTATTAATATTTTGACTGAATTTCGGTTAGTCAAATAAATCTCGTAGTGGACATCAACTCTAGGATGCAGTCATACCCAACTGACAAACATCAAGTGGGTCGAAAAACACGTATTAAACTCCACTTCTAAGCACACTCCGTTTGTTCTATGTAAAATTAGGAACACTACTTCCCAATGTATATATATATATATATATATATATACATATATATATAGACAAGTTGTCGAATTTCTTTCATATTGATACCTGACTGATGAAGTATTCACTATTTGACAAAACTACAATAGTTTATTGTTCAATAAACCAACTGATATATAGCAACTAATTTCATATTACTATCCGTAGGATAAAATGTCCACATCAGAAATTTCACTGCTGATCTATGCATCGTTTTATTAATGATAATGATAATAATAGTAGCAATACAACTAATTTATCAAATACAGGCTTTATGCACTCAATTTTAAGCTTCACTTTTATTATAATGGATCAACCTAACTCCTTAAACTAAGATACATATAACAAGGTTCGTGTTTAAAACACTATAAATTAAAAGCTAAATGCTTCATTTAATTAATCAATTAATTGCTTCGCTGCACTACGTTTGCATTTAGAAGTATATGCAATTGACAATTTAACACATATCATTTCCGCATTAAACAAACTGTTTATTCTAAACTAAACTAATGTTTCGTTCTTAGTTCATAGTATTATATGTTTTATACGTGTTGAAGCCTGGTTGTGTAGTATTTTTTTCTAAAAAAAATGATAATTCGAAGTGCATAATTTATTCATTCATTCACCCACTCACTTATTCGTACACTGATTTGTTCATTTGTTATGTATGAATTTCATAATAAGATTAGTGGCATCAAGGATTATTTATTATTATTACTAGCCTTTTTTCATTTTGTAGATACATAGTTACAATAGCAATAATATTATGCCTGGTTTAACATGTTTTACACTGTTTAATATATATATATATATATATATATATATATATATATATATATATATATATAAATTCATGCTCGTTGCACAAGTCAATTGGTATCTGAGTTCAGTAGCTAAGTGGATAATGCGTATTGTGTGTTTTAAGCGGAAGGTACTGGGTTAGAGTCCTTCAGTGTAAATATTATCATATTCAGACGTAGTTACATCCAACTGATGAGTTTCGAATTGAACAAAAATTAGCTTTCACTGCTACCCACAATTAATCTATTTAGTAAAAGCTTGCTATATATCTGGGGGATCCGCACAAAATTCACATGTACTAATTAAGATTTTTTTCGAAATTCATTTAACATTATCAAAATGGGATAATTCAAATCACTACAAATCAAACTATCTATTTTCTTATTTAATTCATAGTCACCAAGGCTTAATACGCGTCATTGTATTCATAACTATATATACACATACATGCATGTAGATAAATATCTTTGTAAATAAGTCTGTTATTTCATTCATTCAGTATGTTTTTATTTTAACGTTGATGAAGTTAATTTCCATTTCTTTATTCGCTACTTTTTTATGTTCATATTCTTCAAACCAGTATAAATATGTACAACTATATTTTATACTTGTTTAGACAGTTTTTGTATTAAAAGAAAACTAGTTAATTCCTTTTAGTCATTGTTCCCCTCATAAGAAAGCTATATTCTATGGTGTTTAAAACACTTGTTAGTCAGTAATAGTGTAAATGTATGACCATCTATGGTTCTGTGTGTGTGTCTCTATTATGTTTGAGATAACATCAATAAATCTAATCAATCTGATACCGGTATACAACAATCTCCTTCTCTTTTAAATATTAGCTACTCTAAAAGATAAGTATTCTAAGGAAGATTACTTTGGTAGAGATTAGAGAATATTTATTTATATTTCAATGTATTCGATAATGTCAATTAAATTTAGTGATTATTAGTTAAAGAATTTAACAAATTGAATTAATGTTACATGAACGAAGAATTGCATTGGATAAATTTTCTCCGACAATCGCACATCAGTTCAGCGAATAATGATGTTAAGTTTGGGAAACGGATAATAATCCCGGTTACAATGAAAACATATCGAAATATAGGAAATACAGTTTAAACAAGAAGCAAATAACATATTGAAGAATAAAATGTTAGGAATGATACTATCTTAAGATTTTCACACGAATATCACTACCACCAGTTTTTACGTCACTGCACACAACTAACTATTTAAGGTGATAGCTATTGTTAATGGGATATATATAGGTATGATAGAGTTTGAATATACAAATTAAAAGCATTTAATACACAGTGACGCAGATGCACTACATTCTTACTTCTCTTTACACCTTGAGTACTAATATTCTACTTTACATACCTTTTCATTCAGTCTTTACAAACTATATTCTCAATGTTCAACTTTTCTCAGTATCATTTCAATTTCTTTACTATTCAGCTTGTCTGTTATTTCATTTTGTCTTCTCAACTCGGTAGTGGCAATCTTATCAAGTTTCTGTCAGTCTCTGTTTCAAATGATTATAATTAACTGAATAACTCAAATTTAGCTTGAGAGTGACAGTAGCCCTAGAAGAGCTACGTGCAGAGTTGACTCAAATCTCCATGAAATATAATAAACGAAAGTTAAGTTAATAAATCTTTGCACATGGTAAATGATTTATGCATATATATCATACATCATTACCTCAGTCCAAAAGAATGTAGGTAGGTCATAATTAATAATGATTGTTAGATGGTGGTTGGAGGTAGTCAATGAGAAACCCTGGACTCGGGTTCCGTGCTACTTGGCACTCGTAAGCAAAGTGTACCTGTAATCTTGAGGGAACTGGTGCTCCCTGAAGGAATCGATCCCGTATTCCCTCAAGATTGCACGCAATGTTGAGTCACCTAGACTAGTGGCCACATTGCAACTTGGTTGATAGCATTCGATCAGCACTAAGAAGGACTTCACACATGACATTGATCACTACCCAGTAATCAATCAATTCTAATAATGATTGTCTTGATACTAATATGTTTACATGATATTTAATGTGTAGGATATGTGTTATTTGGTTAAGTTTTGAATGATCTCACATAAGTTTAATGTATACGTATAAATGAGATAGTTTCTTTTTTTTGTTTTTTTTTCTATTTTTAATGTCATGTGGTGTGTAAAATCCAACAGTATGTCTAATTTGTCTCTTCTTTAATTATGTATTATACCGTGTGTTATGAAATAGTTTGCTTTTTCTGTGTAAATATAATCATTAATGCCATTTCACATTATAAACTATCCGCTTACTATGTTACGTTTTTTAAAAGTCAGTAAACAATGTATAAATGATTTGGCATTTTAAAACACAGAATTCTATCTTATATATATATATATATATATATATATATATATATATATATATATATATATATATATATATATATATATGCTTCGTTGAATTTGTAAGCAGATTACTTATTTGTTTCTGAAAACATAGTAAGTGTGATTGAATGGTAGTTTCCTTGTAGATTCGCCAGAAGACTAGCGCTAATAACTATAATGTATTGAGGTTATCTTTCTTATATTGAATTCACTGAACAACTGAATAACTTTACAAATGAGTACAATCGTTCAGCACTGACTTGTTAGATGGTTGGAGATAGATGATGGTAAATCCTGGGACTAGGTTTCTTGCTAATAGTTGATACTTTTCAGCAAGACTTATTTGTAGTCTTGAAGAAATTCGAAAGGTTATGCAGAGGTCATGGCTAATGAGTCATTGAAAGTATTATAAATTTACTAAGCCATGATAAGAATAATAATTACAAGTTTTTAAAGTAGGTATTCAATAAAGTCAATAATAGTTATTGTAAAAACGGTTAGCTCGAAGGAAGCAGAATAAATTTAGTTGTTTCTAAAATGACTTAATAACTTGGAAAATTTTCAGGTTTAGTTCGCTTAATGTATTACGTTTAATAGTGATATCTTGATACTTGAAAATTTACTGACCTTCAATTGTTTAGTCTTAGGTGCAAATCAATAAGTTCTTTAAATCCTTTTCATTATTATGCATATTTTTAAATTTAAACATTGAAATTCAATGTAAATTCTATTCTATTCTTTCCCTCTTTTTTCTACCTTTCAGTCACAGACATCTACATCAAATGATTTACTTCGTCATCGCCGACATCATCACCATCATCATAATCATAGTCACTACCACTTTAATAATATTCATCAACATCCAGCATTGTGTGCTTATAAATCGCATTGTGATACCAATCATATGTCGTCTACCATACATTTATCACCGAATCACGAAAAAGATACCAAGTCAATAGTAAATACTGCTATTACTGATGGTATTAATAAACTTTCTTCCATACAACCTAATAATAATAGTAATGGTAATAGTAATAAGCATTATCATCATCGTTCATATGAAGTAAACAATAGTACTAGTCTTCATGAAGAAACTAATCATAATGATGTTCACTATCGAGATGATGAAACTCCCACTCCTCCTCTTCATCATCATAATCCTTATTGTTTTACACTTAATCTATCAACTCATACAATTGCAACATCAAATTCTCCTATTGATAACACATTGATATCTTCAAATCGGTCTCATCATCATAGTCATAATCATTCCTCATTGACTACAATGCCTAAAAAAGAACATAGGTATTCACAAGAAAGTATTCAATCCCCACCGGAATATACTTCAATGATAAGTCCAAAAAATCATTCTATTGGAAATAATATTACATCTTCATCATCACCACCACCACAAGATTATCGTTCAATGTCGGTGCCAGGGATATGGAGTTCGCGAACCAAGGTAATTTATAGTTCTCTCTCTCTCTCTCTCTCTCTCTCTATATATATATATATATATATATATATATATAATTTATTTTAACACATAGATATTGGTACAAGGAGGCACCAAATACATATGCGCCACACAAATCTCATTCGATATGTGTGAGGGCTGTGATACTGCCCGGGTGCCCAAACCGAAGCACGTGGTTTTCTTAGGGGTCACTCCTCGAGCCTTCGACCTGAAGGTCTGGTCCACAAGGCAGTGGAGCATCGTGAGGAGATGCAGTCCCATGGTAGCCGGTAAACAGCGATTGGTTCATACGCCATTTGTTCCCGCAGGATACTGGAGCCCATGTGCACCATTGGTTTGGGATTCGGTTAAAGCGCCGGACATTCGCTTTTCGTCCTCTCATTTTCGTAAACAACACCCTCTCCACGAGAACGTTTAAAATGATGGTGAGAAATCATCTTTTGCAATTATGAGGTGAAAATGATAGTGTTATACGTATCAAATATCTAATTCTGTTTCTTTAGCTTGTGTGTGATAGGCGAATCTACACTACCGCAAATCTTGACTGTTATCCTTGAATCCTGAAACAAACCTGATTATACCACAGTTTATGAAGGAAACAATAATATAACACTTCTAATACTCCTTGAGCGAATTTCATTTATCTATTCAGGCATAACATGTTTATTTGCACCGATCTCCCTTTTGAAGATATTCTCCTCTTTTTAAATTATATCTCATATCCCCTTGATTTTGTTCATGGTCGTTTCTAGTATTAATTCATTTGATTCAACCCCTCTACTATCATTAATTTTCTTACTTCATTCACACTATAATTTATTGTTGACTTATTAATTTTACAATGCTTTAATGTGAACACCCATAATCTTTTCTTGTTAGTGTTTACAATACGTAATCTTTCTATAGCATCATCATGTTTATTCATTGCTTATATGAGTTCATGGAATGAATGTTTAAAATTTCGTTGTAAAGAAATCCCTTCGCTGATCTCGGTGTTTTTAAATGTCTGAAACGTTATTGTTGAACAAGATGAATGTTTATTAACTCAGTGCTTGATATTACCACTACCATTTTCTTTCAATTTGGTTTAAAGTCGTTTTTTAATTCATTTGATCTTTTCTGGCGTTTTCACTACTTTTTCGTTTTCATTTCTATTCTCTTTTCTTCCTTCCTTTTTTCCCCATATTCCTAAACAAAATAGAACTATGATTTATGTGTGCGTGCGCATTTTCACGATGCCTTATTCTTTATAAGCTTGAGATTATACCACATCAATAATATTGCTAAGCAATATCAGTGTTGTTTTGTTAGTTTTATTCCCGTTTGTTATTCGTCACCCTCTCCCCTACTTCCAACTTGTTGTTATTGCTATGTTTATCATCGTTTTATATCTCAAGGTCACGATGACTTGGTTATGTCGATTGCTAATAATATTAACAATAATTATTATGATTGACTACTTTGATCGTTTAACATGTGTTGGGCTTGTTAAACTGTAATATGTTTTTTCGAGAATTTTTCAACTTTAATACTTCATATGCTGCGTCATAGGTTTAAACTCTGTTCACTTTACTTCGATACAGAAAAGTGAATGGCGTTATTAAACCTCTCGAAGTCAAGTATATAAGTATGCACCTGGTAAATAAACTGAATAAATGCACCACAACACTCTGCACATGACATAAGACAAGTATTTTCAATAATTCAGTATGTCATATTCCTGTTTGTGTATGCATATCAAAGTCATAATACTTGAAGATAGTTTTCGTCATTGACCGATATCAGTTCAAGAATTATTGAGCAACAGATGATCACTGAGACACAAATAGTGCGATTGTTTGTCTAAGGCAAAAATGTGTTTCCCGTGCAATGTCACTTGGAGGTTCTTTTACTATCTTTATATTTTTTTCTCACTTAGCCATTGTATGGATTAATGATTTAGTGGATAACGCATTTCACTTTCAGTCTTTGAAATGTATACTCTTGAATTTTGTTTCACCTACTTTTGTCATCGATTCATGAAGTCATTGACCGTTGGTCTGAATTATGTAAGTAGATCAAGACTATTTGGTTGAACCTCTACGGGGACAACTTTGGTCAGTAGCTGGAGATTTCAGGTGACATGGTCTAGAATCGGTCGCAATGTCGCGGATTTATCATCTCAGTCTTCTTTCATACACGACCTTTCCATTCTGTTTATTTGAACGGGATTCTCAATCAGGAGTCTCTCGCGTTATCATTATTACTGCATTATTTCTGTCGCTATGTCACTAGTTTCGTTAAGTTCATCTCGTCATAAAAAATCTGGTGTAGGGACTTGTGTTAACACACAATTATGTTATACCCTAGGTGGATTATAATTAATTTGAAGGCGTATAGTATCACTGAGTTTTGCAAAAAATGTGTTTATGTGTATGTTGAGTACATGAATCTACAATTGTTTACTGAGTATTTAATGATTTTTATTTATTAGTTTATTCCCTTTACAATCTAAACTGTCTTTCAAAGAAACTTTTTTTCTTGTTCATTGTTTAAGGTAAACAAAATAGTTCACCCTAAATTAAGTTTTTTCTTAAAAAAATTAAGAAAGAAAAAGAGAACAGCTTCCCATTTCATTAAACTTTATTCTTTATGTAGCTTGACTGAATTAAGGCCAATCAACTTGTTAACTTATTCCATTGAAAACTTAATATTTACACTTCATTTTCATTAAAAATTACAACTAAAGGAAACACTTGATGGTGTTGTCAATTTGTGAAATTATACATTTTTAAATAGTGATTAGTAGCAGCGAAAACTATGACGTGGATTTTACCGTAACTGGGACTTATCACCTAGTTGTACTAAGGTGGTGGTGACCTAGTAGATTTAGTATAATAATTGGAAAGGGACTCGGACTTATTACACACGACTTGATAATTGGTGTGATTGGCACTGTATAAACTTTATATCTCACTGAGCCATGAAATAGAATAATATTAAACCTGACTGATTGTGAAGAATTTATTCTAGGGAAAAACACCACTTGTTCATATACAGTTTCACTTTGCGGTGAACATTAGTTAAATTTAAATAACTATAACTATAAATCATAGTGATTGAATGCATAACAAGAATTATCCGCATACAGTAGTATATCATAATGAAATAATTAATAACTGAAATTATCCGAATACGCAGTCAAACGTTATGTTAAACGGTTATCATCCTGTGTTGGTGACTTAGTGGTTAAGATGTTTGACTTTTAGCCACTAAGTCCCAAGTTCGAACCGCACTTTATCTACTTCAGTCTGGGCAACAGGGTTATATCATAAGTCTTTATAACTAAAGTGTGGCTCATACCTATGTACTTGGTGAATTATTTAATTAAATTTTAAGAAACAGTCCTAAAAAGTTCATGATCTCACTTTTTCGCTTTCTATCACAAACCAACGTTCTTATTTTACCACGCCGATATAAACTTGAACCCCAGTATTTATCATTTCAAACATCAATGTATTATTTGGTAAGCTATTGAATCCATAGTTTTATTAATTCGTTTAAAGTGTGTAATATATATCATTATTAGGAAGCGATTTTAAATTTTTCATTGTTAATATTTACTACTAAATTTGAACTTGTATCTACTTGTCCTGTGCATCCAGGCACTCGTTCAAGGCATCTGTGTAAATGCTTACAGAGATACTAACCCAACTCTTGAATATGAATATTAGTAAGAATACAAACCCTCTCTATTAATAGTATGAAAAATAAGTGATATCAGTGGTACTTGACCAGTGATATGACAGATTTAATTCGATTTAAAGTTACTATGAATAAAATCCTATATTACGTGGTTGATAGGAGACCCTTTACCTAGATTTTGCGCAGGTGACATATACTTATCAGCAGAGTACACCTACAGTCTTAGGGGAACTGATGTCTCCTGTTGGATTCGAGTCAACTTAGTTCGAAGTTTGGAAAGTTACTGCTGCATTTTTTCAGGCCTCTACTGCCCTCCTGTCTAGATTTTTTCACTGTCTACCTTCAATCACCTAGGGTTAATTTTTATCATATTCAACTTCAGTTTGTTCATCAAATACCGTTATATTTTTAATTTCTGAATGAAGTTTCGTTTCTTATAATATCAAAGCAGTTTCATTTCTTTTTTTTTTGTAAAATGAACGAACTCTTTCTTAGTGTAGGGTTTTTGAGATTGTTTGGATTTTGTTGAAATGATGAAACGAAGGTCCTTTGTCAGAGTCTCGCATGCGAATCGTGAATATAAACTGCTGAGACGTCTCATGGTAGGGCTAAACTGCCGTCCGGTGTTTCCAGGTTTTGAATGGTGAGCTAACACTGATCGGTTCGTGATCTATATCATAGTATGCTTTACATTTCTAGTTAGTGTTTGCTTAAACCAATATGAATTTGAAGCGTTACATATTATCATTCCGGTCCTGTGTTGTGTGTTATTGAGTAACTTAAAAGTGTAATTATAACCTATTTACATTTTGTACTTTCTCATCACTAGTTCTGAGCAAATTGTTTGAACCTGAGTTTTTTTCCTCTCAGCGGGAATTAAATTACTTCCAGTGATACATTAAACCATTCTATAGATTAAGCGCTCCACTGGAGACTAAAAGTCCTGGGTCTGATCCCCTGTGGTGGTGTCGTGAATAATGCACTGCTGAGGGAAGAATACCATACTAGACCGAAACAGCCGTCCAGTACTTCTAACTTTTCCATAGTGGTCTGTGATACAAACTAAAAAGAATTTTTATGTCATTTAAAGTAACAGGTAAAACAAGAAAAACAGGATGAGGAAGCTATGGAAAGAGAGTGTGTGTGTGATTGAGAGCAGCATGTAAATTGAATTTTAATGCTGACATTTCTCTTTATTTATATGTGCTTGTGTGAGCGTAGCACATTAAACTGATTTATGCATTTATTTTCTTTTTTTCTTCTTTTTCTTATTATATTTTAGCCGGATATTATTTCACCGCAAAAAACTGACAAGATAACATATGGTAAGTATAAAGAGTGAATACATGAATGATTGCGCTTATTCATACAATTCTTTTGGTGGGGGGGGGCAGAGAAGTGAACTATAGGATTTATTTTTTTTACGAGATTTGGTGTTTAGTAACTTAATTTTGTTTTTCAAATGTGTTAGCTGGTAAGTTTACATTTGAAATTGTACAGTACTCATGACCTAATGTTTAAAACCAATTCAACTACCAAAGACCACTGAGCTTTGAAGTTGAGAAACCTTTCTATCTTTTGTTGTTTTCTTTTGCAGTTGTGTTTCATACATTGGCTTTTATACACAAAACGTCGTAACTTAAACCAAGTATACCCACTTGGATCACGTCATTTAGTAGTTGCGTTTACTGGGCTGTTCAATGTACAGTTTAGCATCTAGTAACAGACGAATTGTATAGTACCGTTCGAAGATTCGTCTTTCCCCCAACCCATAGGCTATTTGTTTTACAGTTGTGATAAATTTCAGAAAGTTTCCATATTTTAATTAATTACTGACTTAGTTAATCCATTTGTGGATTAATTTAACAAGTCACTTTTACGTGAAATATGCTTTGATGGTTTTGTCCATAGTGACAATAAAAGCTTCACGATTAAATAAATTCAACTCAAAAAACAAAATGCAATCAAAAGTATCCACTTGAGCTGCAATCATCTTAGTCATCTTCATAAAACCTTACAATCTATCGTTTGCCTAAGTACTGCAAAATTTAAATGCGATAATAGTTGATATATTTTTCAGTTTGTCTATCTTCGAAATAAATGGAAGATATTTGCATGAAGGTTCTTCTAACGAATGTATATACTACATGGAAATGTCAGTAGACAGGAACTTGTTGGAATATGTCGTGTTTTATGTTATGAATTCCTTACCGTAACCAAATATATGTTGAATGTAACCAAGTATTAATTTCTTGTTATCAACTATAATGGTTGTGGAATTTATCGTGGATAGTCAACTACCACTTATATTGAGGAAGTCACTATAGAAGTGGATCAAAAGCTATGAAAAATTCAGGGAAGGAATTTTTTTCATTGAATTTCCTCACTGAATTGTCTTTATTTTGTTTATTGACCCAATAAACTCAATGTTTCGTTTTTTGAAAGTTGCATAGATTGATAAGTTAATGACATCAATTAATCATCCACTTTGCGAAACAATACAGTTTTTGTTTTAACCTTTACAGAAAAGTTTACCCATCATTGATAAAATGAATTCTGACAAAGTAGTTCATTATCAGTTACATCTGCAATACAACCGAAAATTAATGTACTATGGATAATTGTTTGATAGATCGCTATCAGTATAAGTTTTAATACCGAAATTGTTCTTTTTGACTAAATAAAAAGAAAAAATGAAATGTTCATAATGATCAGAGAAATACTTTTACAGTTTGATAAGTATTGTGTCTGTCTATAGAAGTTAATTTCACTAAGAGTGAAGAAAATGGAAAACAATTGATTGACCATTGTGAATACCTCGATTAGTAAAAGGGACTCATCTGTTCACCAATTATAATCATTAGTTTTTCACGAAACACCACCTTCCTTGAGAAAGGTTGAACATTTAGAGTATGGTTCAGAAAGACTAATTAGAAGAGAATGTATGAAGCAATACTGGAACTCAATATCTAAGGTAAAATTTTTAAAAATGCATTTGAGCCATATCACCTTAATTTATCACTGATCTCGATTATCGCGGTGACCTCAAAAAGGTAGTTTACATCTACTAACATGGTTTAGATCGACACTTATATGTTTTTGATTGAGATCATGAACCGATTGATGTTAGACCACCACAACTGAAAACCTAGGAGCACTGGACGGCCGTTTCGTCCTATCGTGGGACTCCTCAGTAGTGCGCATCCACGACCCCGCTCGCGGGATTCGAACACAGGGCCTTCGGTCTTGCGCGTGAACGCTTAACCAACTAGACCACTGAGCCGGCATCCAATGGTGATAGTTTCTAACATCAACCAATCCACCAAGATGCGCGACCATCTTCCATTGTACTGAACTAGATACCTGTTTCTACCCAACACGGATTAGCTCCACTGGTCACGGCTTCTCACTAGAACTCCGAGAATTCCCTCACGAAGCTAGTCACTAGTGAGCACATGTTGATTACTAGTATAGGGTTTGTGGAGATTATTAAGTTTTTGATTGAGATCATGAACCGATTGATGTTAGACGTGAACGTTGAGGTAGGCGTTGGTTAGGAATACAGTATATATACCTCAATCACCAATAATATTAAATTAAACAGTTTGTAATACATAATAAAGTTAGTATTAATTTTCACCACAAACTGTCATGAATTTAAAAATCGTTGAAAACTAGTGAGCTCTGACAGTTGTCATTGTTCTAGCTCAAGATGTTTATTTATTCTACACATTCTGTAACCTTCGAACCAGAGATCTTTATATCTTGCATCATTGAATTTGAACTGACCCATACTATTACCGACATCAGTTGATATGCTATGTAGGGCAACCATCATCCATGGTATTTGTTTATTCTTTATAAAATGGTTATCAGTTCCATCAGTTATAACGGTTCTTAATAGTTTTAAAAACAACTTCACTTTTTTCTTACATTTATTTAGAAAACAATTCACTTACACTTTAATAAATTTTGTATGCGTAACAGTCAATATTCTAACATGATGTGTGTATCTCCTCAGTGTTATTCGGAGTCCAACTAGTACTGCGAGTTATATTTTGTTTCTATGCCTAAAACTAATAACACATTTTTTAAAATATTGATTTCATAGTAAATAGCAAGAGTTTGTAGCGCAGTACCTATTTAGGGTCCTCCTGATCATTGTAACCAATGATGTTAGAGATTAAGTGATATGGTTAAGAATTGTTCGCAGTGCCATGAGTACATTCACTCTTTATCTTCTTTTAGATCTTAAGTCCTTAAATTTCCTATGCATTTAAAGAAAGAACAACTTTACTAACCAATATTTTCCTCTCGAAATGTACCTTAAAACGCTCATCTTTTCCATTCTCATTAATCCGGTTAATACTTCTACTACCCTAGGATTTGTCCTGACAATTTCACTTCACTATATTAATATGACAACTTGAGCCGATTTATATATGTTTAAGTTTCTATGTGGCGTTTGATTGTTTGATTGTATTACAAACAATCGATACACACATTTTATAGTTGTTAACTGTAGTGAACAAATAAAAATATTTCATAATAATGTTAATGATGAAAGTAAGATTACATGAAAAAACTCTTCAAAAGAAAAGGAATTTAAAAGAGAACTACATTATGTACATATATACGTCAATGTACTACAGCAATTAATATGATATGGTAATTTATCATTATTATTATTATTAGCTTTGTCCAATATTATATGTTTGGTACTATGTAGAATTCCCAGCATGAAGTATTTCAACAGGTTTACGTTTCTTATCTCTTGATCGATCCTGACGACAAATATTGAGTGATCACTAGTTAGATGTTAACAGTTCAGGAATCGACATCTGAATAATATGCATTATTTTTTATGCATATTGCTAGAAATCATGATGTATTTCATTGTGTTGTTTTGTAACTTGTATAGCGAAATGTCCTAAACTCTTCATAAACCCACTTGAATAGGCCATGCGATTAATCGACATAATTATGCGTTAAAACAAACAAACAAAAACAGACAACTTGTTGAATTATCTAGATGTTAGGAACAGGTAGTATAGATATTCAAGTGGGCTTCTGGATACTGAATGAAGTTATAAAACAGTAACAAAGAAAAATAACTCAAAAGCATATATCTCATCATCGCTAACAACAATAATCATGGTTCTCCATATCATTCATTATTATGATTATAACCATCTTCATCATTTAAGTACAAAGTATAATGATTTGTCTGGGTGTGTGTATGCATGTGAGTGAGTCCGTATATTTCTTATTGTTTTTCTCGTTGGTGTTGTTATTATCTTCAGTGGTAATCATGAGTACATGACTGATCATGTGCGTGTTTGAAACAAACACAATATAATCAATCAATCAATTATTATTATTATTTATTTATTTATTTATCCATTGTTTTCTTAGGGAAATGTGTTTTGTTTTCATTCAATGCGTCTATTTATTAGTTAGTGTTTGAATAAGTTATGTTTTGTTTCGATTATTCGTCCATTTATTCACATCTTTTTCTACTCTTTAGTTTGTCTTATTTCCATTATTGTGTACATACAAAAAAAGTTTAAATTATAACAGAAAAAACGACTAATTATTGAGAAATAGTTTCTTAATTCAGTCCCTTTACATATTTGTGTTAGTGTGTATGTATGCATTGTAACTATATAGACTCTTTTGATTTCTTCTTTCTCTTCATGTTTTTTTTCTAGTTAGTTGTTAATATGTTATTGAATATTCGATGTAACTTATATACTTTGAACAATATTGTAAATAATAGGTAAATATTAGTAATATATACAATGGGATAGTCTATAACATTAACCTAATATCGATTAAAGATATGACTTAGTGTTTAAAGCAATTGACTTTCATTTATTAGATTGTTACAGTTTTAAATTATGCTCTTCATAGTTTTTTTTGGCTGACCAGTACCAGTTTTATTAGCTGTTATAATCTACTGCGATCAATAGTCGAAACGTTGACTGATTATGGATGAGAATCCGTGATAAATATAGTTATTCTTCAAATCATTGCAGACCATGAGTTCCAGTATTGCTTTATGCATAGTTTTTCATTCATTCAGTCGTTCTTATTATCATTGTTATTACATTTCTTTGCTAATAATCTTGTGTTGTTGATGTAGTATGGCAGCTTGTGGTAATACACGTATCTACCAGTTTCTATTTTATTCATTATTGACTGATAGAGGCTCAAAGTGATATTTCTCTAAGTTCAAAATACATTTGTTAACTTGTACTTGTTAAATGAGTTATTGAATCATAGATTTAGGTCCCAATTCATCATTTGTTCTGATTTGAATGCCTAGCTACTGTCGTTAATAATTCCCACATGCGAAATATACGTCTCATAACTGATTGGGTCACATAAATTTCTGAAAAGTCATAACTTTACTGTCATTCCGTAAGAACTATTTCCTCTGTTGTCAAATGCTGTTTTTTACCATAAAATAAAAAGTAACCATCCTGTAACTACAGCTTATTGCGTATTTTGGAGTTGTTGTATTCTCTGGGCAGGATAGTTCTATTGTGAAGATTTCGTTTTCTTTCTGTACAACGTCATTAGTACTTTTTAATGTGAAATACACTTCTGATAATTACTTCATAATATATGTGAATCTAGGCTTATATCTGGTGAATGATAGGTGATATATATGAATTATCATTACAATTTAGTCGATAAATTCTCTAGAGTAAAAAATCTCTTTAGATTATAGAATTTATCCTCTTATTCACGGTAGTATCCATATATTTTGCCACTGCCATTGCGACCGTTAATAATTATAATTGATACGAACGAGCCGAGTACTGCAGTGGTGGGGAATAATTATTTCACATAATACATGAATAAAGAGGAAACCATGGTTGCTAACTCCAGAAATTTGGATCTTACCAGGCTACAGAATATCAAAAAATTGAAATTTAACATTTCACTGAAAAGAATTAATATTTTTAAAAAAAAAATCCTCGCTATTACTATCCAAATGTTAAAAAAATGGTTCAGACTGGTAGATTTATTTTGTGATGATAATAATTTTTTTTCCTTTTTCTGTTATGCACTGATAATAGTAATGGACACACTAGTGGCTTGCTTTGAGATTCGATTCCTGGAGTTTAGCTAAAATCAGTGACTAGTGAAACTTAACCTTCTTGAATGTAAATCAGTTACCCACCGCATGCGATGGGAGATGGTCTCTCAATATTGTAGACTGATTAAAGTTAAGCGTTTACAGTATTTGAACTTGATACTGAGGTTTCTGGTTTGGAATCCCGGATGTTGGGTCGTGGGTGAGTTATGCTGAAGAGTCCTATACTGGGATAAATGATCATTCAGTGCTTCTAGGTTTTCAACGGTTGTCTAACTATTAAAATGCATTACTTCTAGTTAGTAGTGAGTTTTTGGTTTTTCTAAATTCATTTTTTATTCATTTATTCACCTGTTTATTGATATGATTTTTGTAGGTAACAGTTGTGATACTGATAGTGTTAAAATAATGCCAAAGATTTCTGTTCCATCTGAAAATCTTAAACGATCCGACTCAATCAATAGTAGTAAATCTCATTGTCATCAATTTAGTGTAGCCGCTCTAACTGATGAAGTTATGCATTCCTCTGCTCAATCAGAAGAATCCAAGTCACAACCTACTATTATATCCAAATCTCCAAAACATCCAAGTGGTAAAAAGCGAACTTACAGAAAATCAGAGCAACGTGATATCGTAAATACCGTATCCGATAAATATTCACATCGTCGTAATGAATATGATAAATCTTTTGCGTATTCCAAATTTGACAATTCTACACGTGTAAACCGGTGCACAGGTGTAGATAACAATGGTAGCAATAAATCTTGGAATTCAGCAATTAACGATTCGTTAAAAGGAGCGTTATACTTTCCTACAACTGTTGGTACGAATCATAATTGTGAACGAATACATGAAACGGTTTCAAAATATTCTCCAATGACCAATCATAATTTTAATTCGACACCATTTTCTTTACGTAATCCAGCTGATTCTCTTCCTGCTCATTCATATCTACCACCAAGAGGATTACAAGAACCTACAAGTTGTGGTTCACAGATCAGACCTCTGTCATCATCATCTGCACACTTAGTACCACCTTTAGTCCCATCATCAATATGCTCGAACTCATTTCTTTCACATCAAAATTTATTAAAACAGTTTATGGGTATTGATTCAGAAACTGCTAATCAATTACTCAATGATCCACGTTTTATGGAATTGTATGCGCTTACTATGGCTACTCTAAGTAATAATGTTGATGGTGTTCCTGACTCCATATTACCACCACCAGTGTCACGAATTTCTTTGCCTAATCATGCCAATACCATAATATCAACATCGGTTAACAGTGGTAATCAAAATAATAATTCTTGTAGTCGATTTAAAAATGGAAATACTGTAGGACATTTACGAACAACTGATCCTTCACAATTCGGAGAAACATCGTAAGTTGTTGTTCCAGTTTAATTTGCAACATTTAACTTCTTATGGATTTTTCATCTAGTTTTCCTTAAACATAAATGTTTTTAATTTAGCTTTACAATTAGCTATATACCATCACTGATACAATGTAGCAGCTAATTTTTATAGCATGTTAATCAATTGCCTTAATTTTTTTTTAGCTTTGCATAATACTACTTAATTTAGTAAACTATTGGTTGATTCACTTAATCTTCGACATTTCATTATTCTCATAGTTTATGAATGATCAAAACTTGTATGTTTAATGATCCATTCACTAATTAATTAACTGGTCCCATACAGTTTTTACATTTGTCATTGGTCACACTTTACAATAAAGCATGTGATGAATGAAGGAGCAATGGTTGTATTTGTGACTTAATTAGTTGTGTACTTCTAATTATGGAAATTTGACTTTATATTTGTTCGTTCCGTCCAGATTTCTGTTATTTCCTAAAATTATAAGATAATAATTATCATTGTTTTGCATGTTTTTTTATGAGTGGTTATTATTTACTTTTTAAAGTTTCAGATGGGTTTTGTGAATATTATAGTAATTTCAATGGTTAAGATCATGAGTCAGTTGAAGCTAGGTTTTCCATGGTGATCTAGCTTCAACTGACTCATGATCTTAACCATTGAAATTTTTAAAGTCTCGTTTATCTTCAATCATGGCGAAGAAACTCATGGATTTATCCATCGTTTTATATTTTCTGAATAATTATTAGATTATATTAGCTTGGTTGTTGAATTTCTGATTAATAAAATACCTGTGAGCAGTCGGTTTAGTAGTTAAGACGTTCAAAATTCAGCCACTAAGTCTCTGGTTTAAACCGCACTCCACCTAATTTGTTTCGATAATCGGGTTAATAACATTAGGCTTAATACTTACTGTGTGGTTCATTTATTTATTTTACCATGGATCTTGGTACTTCAGTAGTTGAGCAATTGAATCCAGCAGCATTTATTTCAACACATAAATATTGGTACAAGAGGGCACCAAATACATATGCGCCACACCATATTTGTGTGTGTGTGGGCTGTGACACTGCCCGAGTGCCCAAACCGAAATAGGTGGTTTTCTTAGGGGACCACACCCCGAGCCTTTAACCTAAAGGTCTGATCCACAAGACAGTGGAGCATCGTGATGGGATGTAGTCCCATGGTAGTCAGTGACCAACGATTGATTCATACGCCATTTCTTCCCGCAGGATACTGGATCCTATGTGCACCATTGTTTTGGAATCCGGTTAAAGCGCCAGACATTCGCTTTTGTCGTAGAAGTAGGTTGAAAGAAATCTATGGATGAATCAAATTAAGATACAACATAATTTCATAAACCTTTTGATAAACTTCTCGTAAAAAAAACAACTTGGTTTTCTTCCATTTAAATACATACTATTTCTTTTTTTACTATTAACTTTCTGAAGAATGTTATTTTCATTTTATTATTCTTACCGAACAATTATTTGTTTATTTCCCACAACCAAAAAAACCCAACAACACATATACACACAGTTTCACGTAACAAATTGAATTATCTATCTAAATGTGATATAAAGTAATAAGAATTTTTTTTGGAAACTAATAGTTTTGTATACATTTCCTCTCATTGTAAATTACATTTAAATAATAATAGTAATAATAATAATGATACTGTTTATATCCTATGAAAATATCATGTGTATTACATTTTGGTGTGTGATTTTTTGTTGTTGTTGATACAAATAGTAATAATTAGAAGTAGTTCGTCAAAGTTCTTTTTTTTTCAAAAAAAAAACAACAAAAAAAGGTATCCAATTTAATGTACATTTAAACATGGATATAAATTGTGGTTGGACAGGTTGTTTTGCTCTCCAGTCGATTAGTATATACGGTTAGACAGATAGAGAGATCATTGTAATTGTTTTAAATGATAAGTGTTTTTCTATGCGTGCATGTCTGTATTTGCTTCGGTGTTTTTCATACATTTCACATGCACATGTTTCGTATGTATGTGTGTGTGCTAAAATGCTTAAAGTGTTTAGAAATAGACATTAGAGACTGACTTGAAAAAAGTTAAAGGCAGTCAAGCTGAGATATGTCGTCAATTCATGAAGTCATTGACTGTTATATCTAGCGACTTTTTTTATAGATGCAGACTATCTGGTTCGGGTACACGTGATTATTGCAATCAGTGATTGAAGACTTCAAGTGAATTGACACAGCTTCCGTCTCAGTGATGCAGATGCACTCAATTTTTATATTCCTTTCGGTCTTGAGTTCCAGCTTTCCTTCAGATATATATTTCCATTTTGTCTTTTCGAACCATGTTCTCAATGTTTAGTTTTCCACATTATAATTACTGCTAAATCATATCAATTGCTTTGCCTTTCATCTGGCTATATTTATCCCATCGTGTTTGTATGATGTGACAAACTGAGCTAACATATGTGCTTTCCAGGTTCTATATTGATGATGACTGACTGACCAAATGGAAGTTATTAGAGTGGGTTCCAGTTTTTTTAATTGAAATGTTGAATGCTTTAATCGTTATGCTGGAGAACGAAAAGAAAAGAAACTAGAAATTCATTTCTTGTCAAATATAAGCGTTAAACTTTTCACTTTATTTATTTATGTCTTTTGTTCTCGTGCATAACTTCTTCATCTCCCAATTTATTTCCTTTTCTTTCCTATTATTGTCAAATTCATCGAGACATTGACATTTTATAGTCTTTTCATTTTGTTAAAGACCTACCATTTAGATGACTACCTAAATCATACACATACAAACACCCTGTTTTCGCCTGACGTACGACTTCACTGTTTTTTTTTGTTTTTATAGCTTCGTACTCCAGTCTCTTAAGAACAAACTTATCTCTCGATAGCATTTTTTTATAACCATGAACGTATAGTTTAGCTATTACCGTTATTCTTATTATTATTATTAGTAGCTGTGGTAATGTCGTATAATGTAATTTACAAGTATAACTATAGTTTACACATCATTTTATATTATCATTGCTGTTGTCACTACAACTGCCAATATAACTCTGATAAACTGATTTTGTTTTATGTGTACATATCCATGTATCTCTGCTTAAGCGGACATTCCAATCTATTTTACCCTATTACTGTTGTTATTACAACCCCGCACACCCTTTCTCTCTGTGTCACTACTTCTACCGTTTTCTACTGTTGATATTTCGCATATGTATTGGCGGAAGTAAAGAAGAAAATTACGTGATGAATAATTCTATTATTACCATTCATCCATATCATTGTTTTCCTTATTGTCGTTGATATTACTATTGTTATTATCTTTGTTCTTATTCTTCTTCGTTATGACGTCATTAATTATTGAGCAGGATTATAGTACACTGTCTTAGCTTTTCCTTATATTGGGCGACTATAATGGAAAGAGGTTGTTGCACACAGTGAACAATAGCGTTGCGCTGTGTCAATAAAACCTAATAGTTATTGAGAGAGAAGAGAAAACCCATAAAAGCCCGGTGATATCAGTTTTATAGGACAACATTAAGAAAAACTTCATTATCATCAATTAGTTAGTGATACTTATAAGTAGAGTTTAAGAGTCTCTGTTGACTTGAATGTTCTAGCACGTGTGTTATAAGTAACTAGCCACCCTTTGCTCAAATTCTTCTTATTGTCTAGCACAAGAGTGTATTTAAAGAACGCTGGGATCCACCACGTGAGTTCATTTTAATACTGATAGTGAATGAATAGGTAAACAGTTTTACCATACTGAATTAATCTAACAAAAACAAAGGTTACAAGATTTAACAGTTGTGAACTATGAAATGATAATTCCGTGGTATATAAGTATTTTGATCATTGCGAGACATGTTAACCCTGAGATCGATTATGTGTTGTGTTATAAATACACTTTATCGAAGATTTGCAAGCGAGGAAAAATAATCAACAATGGTTATTAATAGATATTACCTTAAAATTCTGATAAATCTTTACAAAGCCACCTCAGCTAAACTAATGAATTTTTATTTTAAATTTTTTATCCACTGACAAAACGTAATGTAGTGAATATACTTATCGGTAGTAGTTATCCACAATAATTATTTTTTTTACGGTTATTTGTTTTCTGTAAAATTTATTGTGTTCAAGATGATTTTGATTTAGACATACATTTACAGGACTAGTCATAGTTATTTGGTGTACCAATTAAAGCTCGACATGAATATAGAAACTTGTTTTAGATTTAGCATCCAACAGGACTAGGGTAATTTTCATACAGTTAATTATGCGTTGCCTTGCAATCCATTATTATACCTTACATCTGGGAAGCATAGTCACATGAATTCGAATTAAATTACAAAAAGAAGTCATAGCTAAATAAGACTGACCATTTCAAGCAGAGATAGATAGTGGTTGGCGGTGGAATCCAGGACGTATATTTTGACCGATTCGGGACTCGTCGTCTGAATATATTTTCTTACTAGAGCCCCAAATAAGACGAAACACGCGTCCTGGATTTCACAACTAGCAACCATTCATCTCTTTTGCTAAAAATGCTCGTGGTTTAATGGCAATATCGAGGCATTTTGCACAGGTTGCACATATCTCACAAAAGCAACTGTTCATTTGCAGTCCTTCACATCACTGTGAAGATTCAGACAGCCAATATATATATATATATATATATATATATATATATAATCTTACCGTTTTCTCGCTGGTGTTTTGTCTGTCTTGCTGCCCTATATGGCAACTTGAATCTGTGTAGTTGTCTGTCAGTTAACATATCTTTTAGTCTAAATAACCACACACTGAGAGTTCATGGATAGACGTTTTGTTACAATGAAAAAACTATAAAACGATTATAAATGTACAATACATTACATTTATTTCCAAAATACTTGTAATGATTTCGAATAATTGTGTTTTTCTTTCATGTTTGTACATATATTTTAAGGTTATCTCATTGTGGACAACAAGTCAATTTATCCAGCATTCAAAACAAATTATATCCCTATAGCAACATGATGATGCTTGGTGCTAATCGTCCCCCACTAGCCCCTATTACTGTTCCACAATCTTCACAGACCACATCTAGTTCGTCTATAAACCGTCTTATTCCACCAAGTAAGTTATTATTATTATTAATCATAATTTTGCTTTGCATTTACATAGCTACTTGTTAGGAGAATTTGATAATATTCTTTGCATACATAAAAACTAGATTCCTACTTTTTTTAAACGCATTTTTCTATCTTCACTTTTTAGGTATTTTTGTTTGTTTTGGTTCGATCGTGTTTTTTTAAAGTATACTTTCCCTTGTTGTTTGTCGACTACCAATCTGTTTAGACTTCATGTTATAGTACTGTTTTCGCTTGTTTTTTTTGGTGTGTTTTATTTCACCTGAGCATAAAGTATTCTCATATCTAATGAGTAAATTCCTTCGTGATGTATTTTACGTTTTGTTGAAAAATAGTAGATTTTGGATTTTCCAATAATCATTTTCCAGAGGTTTATCTGAGATACATCCTATTTATTGTGTGCAAGTTCTTGACATCATCAATTTTCCAAACTGTTTAGACACAGAGTCATTTTTATCCAATAAACCTTCAAAGCCTACTGTAGAAATGTCTCACGGATTGGTTACAGAGTATTGGTTCCGTGATTAAAGCATTCAGCTTTCAACCAGTAATCTCTTCAGGCTTTAGCCTCTTCTCGCGTGTTTCAACTTAGACTGTCGAATAGCAAATCACTGACTTTTATACTTGAAATAGTCTAATACAGAGTCCAATGCATGAAACCTTCATTTAATAAATGAGTTGCATTTTTTTGTTAGAAACGATAGTAAAAAAACAGTATGACATTTATAATACAGTGTGATATGCATCTCGTAGGCACTATTTATGCATAATATGATATAGTGATAATACTTTAAAGGATAATTGTAATTAAACACCGTTATGTAATTTCAAAATATATTCACTTTTTTTAAACATTCAACCTTGTTATATTTGCTAATCGCATTATACTTGGCAACTAGATCTCAGACATTATAAAGCTTAAAGGAAACAGCCTAAAACCATTCCCCTAGTATATTGAAAATGTCATTTCTCAATAGATTGTTTTTAGTTGATGAAGACGATGCATGAATCTATTAGCATCGATCGTTCACATTATTCATCAATAAGGCATATGCATTTAACATTATTTTATACAATCGTTCTGTTTTAGTTCAAGTTATGACACTCACTGACTGACTTAGTTACTCTGTTTGTTCATTTATGCATTGGTTCTAAAATATTATCATAATTTAGTTTAACTGAAATTCCGTGACATTTGTTTGATGCTTATTATTTGTATACAATTGTAGTGGATTCTTTTTTAAAATGTAAGTTCTTTTATGTGACACACTTAATCAAGGCATAATAATGCTGCTTATGTGTATAACAAATGTGAACAGTGATTTTTTACATAGACCCTTTATATCAAATGATAAATGACTGTATTTCAGTTGTATATATGTGCATCGGTTATAATAATAATTTATCGTCCATATAAAATAAATACCAGTGAAAGATAATGAAACAAAATGTGTTCATTTCTTATCTTATGTAGCTTATGCTGTTGATCTCTGTGTTAAACATGATCAATTAATATGACATGCATTGTTCTGAAGTTATTGTTTTACTATTTGTAAGTCTATTTTCAATTAAATCATTTAGTACACTCTGTAATATCTTTCAGAATTGTCACTTGAAGAAGTTACCTGATGACTGAGCCATTAACTCTAAATTGAATAGGAGATTATTTTTCATAGGAGATATCAAAGATGTTTATTTCTTCTTAAAAAAAAGTGTTCATAATGTTTGTAGTTGACTGCAGATGCTGTTCGATGAAGCAGATGACCTTATTTTCGAACAACGAGAAGCGTATTACGCTCATATTTTAAAAAATATCTCTGTAATAGGTGTGAGGATAAAAAAATATCAATGAATAAACATTTTATAACCTTTAAAGTATGAACTGATCTTAGCTAGACCACTATTAAAAAATCGGAAGAAATAGACGGCTGTTTCGTCCTAGTACTGGTCTCCTCAATAGTAAGCATCGACGAAATTGGGCAAAGGATGTGGGTTGCACAATGTAGTGAATTAATTGAATCTAGATATCAACACAGTTATATACCAGCGTCAAATAGAAATGCGCCACACAAATCATTCGAGTTGTGTGAGGGCTGGAATACAGCACGGGTTCCTAAAACAAACTAAGTGATATTTTTAGAAGGCACCTCTCCGAGTTTTTGACCTAGAGGTCTAATCCACAAAGCAGTGGAACAATGTCAGGCGATGCAGTTTCATGGTAACCAGTGACCAATGATTGGTTCGTACGCCATTTGTTCCCTCAGGATCCTGGAGCCCATGTGCACCATTGGTTTGGAATCAGGGTTTTCCAACTCTTCTATGTGGATTCTCTTTTGTCCACCAACCTGGTTAAAGCGCCGGACATTCTCTTTTCATCCCCTCAATTTCGTGAACAACACCCCCGCCACCAGAAGGCAAGGAATAGGACTTCCTCGTATAAACCTAACTACATAAGAGCATTTCGAGATGGAGAGCGAACTCTCTTACCCCCGACCGTTCTAAGGCATTTGGGCGCTTGAATTAATGAGTTCAAACCTAAATGGATGGGCAAAACTGCTATCAGTCAGTCACCTACAGCGCAGGACCAGGCACATATGTGCAACGGTTCAGGTTACCGTACCTCATTAGCACAACAAGATAAAAACCAAGTTCATAGAGGCAGTTACATGAATGGTAGTAACATAAAAAAATGCATTCAAGGATATGATACAGGGAGAATTAAGCAGTTCGTAGAAAGAAAGCTATAAAGACAAAGAGTATATACACTTACGCTGTTGTGATCGGTTTTAAGTCATTTCTACCCAAAGTCTCTAACCACTGGTAACGATAGTCCCAGCCATGTAGTCTACATCTACCGACATGGCTCAAACCACAAGTTAGTGACTTCAGTCACTGAAGCTCGAATTTCCACGTTTTATCCCGTAAGTTGAAATGTTCTATAGTAACGTGTTCGTAGAAGCTGTATATTAATGATTAAAATGAAATTCTCAATGAGAATCATGTTTTTTTTTTCATTATTCACCCACTAAATGAACAAAAAATATTTAAACATACTAGATATTACACTTTTATTAAACATTGAAAAAACGTGTGGTTACTCTCACACAAACAAAGCAATATACATACATTAGACATTTCCTTATCTACATTTAATGAATTCACAAAAATCCAATCATTTAAAGTAGTAAAATTAACGATAGTGTAGTTTAAATGTAGAAAAATAAGATTTTGTATTGTTCAGTACTGTATTATCATAATATTATTAGATATGTAAAGTGTTAAACGTATAAACTTGAAATATATCAACTTATCATTACTAATTATAGTATTGTTAATTTGTTTTTGTTTTGTTTTTTACTTCATTTATTATGAATACTTTATACATTGCTATCCATTTTAGTGTATGTCATTGTTGAAACTATATAAAGGTTGAACAAGTACATTGTTATAATCTATCTCGATTGTGAATATTAAGTTTATTTTTTAAAACAATGATACCTTAACTGATATCCATTCATGATGTACAAAATTTACAAATTTCTACAAAATCGCTTCAAGTAAATTACTACAGTTAACTCACTAGTGATTTAGTCCAAGATATTTTTAAAGTACAGTTCAGGCGTATCGGTGTTGAAATAGTTGTCATCAAGAGGATTGGATGATCGTTGCACTATATCTCACATTTATCAAAGTGTGAGAATATGTACTATTGGACTGCAACCCAATAATTGTAATGGTTAATTGTTCGCTGTGATATCTAACAAGGTTATGATTATTCACTGCTGAGGAATTCCATATGTTTGAAAGAAAAAGAGCTGTTTTATAGTTCTTGATTTTTAAAAGTATCCTAATTGAACTTGAGATTGCTAATAGCAGTTGTTTCATTGTTATATTGTGCTTAGGGTGATATCGTTACATTTTTTTTACAACAATCTATCGTTGAACTGAACAAATCATAAAACTAAGTATACGTGGTTGCATAGAACTCACAATTCATACCCAGATTAAGTAAATTATCTCAGAAAGCTCCGTGATCATTTTGTCATTGTAACCACTAAGTCTATTCGCTTTCGGATGACTTATTTTGTCTTTAAAAAGAATAACTCCTGACAAAATTTTCCCACTATGTTCATCTCATTACTCTGATTTTTTTTTCAACTTCACTAATCTTTGGTGAAAAAATATTATGGACATCCTTCTTTGTTTTCTCCTTGCTTACCTTCTCATTTATCCTTCATGACCCTACTTTTCTTATCTTGTTTTCCTCTTATTTCTACATCTTGTGCTTTTTTTCTTATTCTCACGAATAATATATAGAGCAGGATGTAAAAGACTAAGCTTAACAAATGCTTGTTTGTCGTTCTTCTATGAAGTAAAATCGTCTTATTGTAACTTTTTTTGTATTCTCTGCTGATGTCTTTTCCTTCCTCTCTCATATCTCTTTCTCTCTCTACTTCACATTCTCTTCTCGTTATCATGTTGCAACAGTTTCCTATATGTTGTGTTTTTGTTTTGTACCCTGAAACGAATAAAATTAGTATGTATATATGTGTACTTGTTTGTTTTCACAATTTTAATAACCCACTTGTATTGAATTCCAGATTTAATGTGTTGTTGCTTATTATAAATTATAATTGACTGTAAGATTTATCACTATGTGCGTCATCTCTTTAGAGTTCTGCCTCTGGGTATGTGTATATGTGGAAATTTCTAAATAATAAATATTTGCTGTTTGTTGTTAAGCTTTCCGTGAATGAAAATTCCAGTGCAATAGAAATTTATTGTCTTACGTAAGTAAATACACATACATAAAAGAGTTTCTCTGGAGAGAAGATTAACGATGATTGCCATTATACTAGTAGTACTGTGGTGTATGCTACTTATGTAAGTAGTATATATCATCAAGCAGAAGTGTAATGCTTATCAAAAGAAGATCCGATCGAGGAGAACAGAAAGGAATTGTAACAAAAACAAAACTGAAAGAATCATGAAGGATGTAAAAGACAACTGAAAGATGTGCAAACGATGTATGACTTTCACATTTTTGGTAAAGCACTGTGTGATTGTGCGCTGAACAAGAAATTGGTCTTCCCCTTTTGAGTTCTCGTTTACCACAGTACTATATATGTTGAAAACAATAAATTTGTAAGGCTTGCCACAAAAATATATAGCCGATAATAATATTTATTACTATTTTTTTAGGCATAATCTATAAACTATTCCAACATGTTTTCAAGCATATACACTGATTATATGAATATCCATCGACAAAGCTGAGCTGTATCGTTGCGCCAATGATGAATGCGCTAACCGCTTCAAGATCACAACTCATTTCTTGAAATAGAGTTAGATATTTTTGTTGCAAATTAGAATTAAGAGTAAGTGTCAAGATTTTCATCACTAAGTGGCATCAGCTATAATTCAAGGATTCTAAATCACATGTCTCAAGTACTTGTCTTAGCGTAATAAGTAATTTATCAATCTCTACTGTTTTTCTCTCTTTCTTGATTGGCTTAACTAATTAAGATCTCAAAGTTATTTGAAAGCATGATCTATCTTTATACCCATTTGTCAATATTTGGATGGACAGTTTCACAGAAATCGGCTGCCAAGTATTCATGAAGAGAAATTAGTTATGAAATGTCAGTGATTGGTAACTTTGTCTTAATTCGTTGACGAAGTTTAGATCAGATTACACAGCGAAAAGTGTTAGATCTACTTAACCTTCAGTTGTATATTTTTATATTTGGTTTAAATAAACGGTTATCCGTTTGGTAACTTGTTGAGACAAGTTTAATTTGAAAAGAGTTTCCTTAATTTTCTAACATCGGTAGGAAGACTGTTGAAAACCTGTGACTAAAATGTTTAACAGTTGTCTTGTTTCAAGTTTGCGACTTTTTAACTGTGGATATTTATGAACTGACGAGACAATAAACTCACGGACTACAGGATTTGCAGTGAACCCATCACTTTTAAACCAGAGAGATATTTTCAATATTCGAAAGATTTTTCGATACTTGAGATTTTTATACATAACTTATATACCCTGCTTTGAACCGCAGTGTTTTTCATACAAGTCGGCATGTTTACTTGTCTGTCCACACCGAAGTGGATTCACATTTGAATGAACCATCGACACACCATTTGAGAACTAAGTTTATTAACCACTTAACAACATGTTCGCTTACGTAAAAGGGGTAAATATTTATCAGTTTGTCTTAAAAAACACAACATATCAGCCAATATTATATAACTTATCTCAACATTAATATAAAGTTATTTGCATACCGTACATACTTTATTATTTCATCCGGATATTTACTGTCTTTCATATAAACTCTATGGAATTTGTTTATCATCATTGAGAAAAAAGTATCTTTTTAGTTTATACTGTTTTGTTTAAAATATAATGAGAATAGACTTTATCCTGTGTTTTTTTTCAACCATATATTCGCGTGCAGATTTCAATGTGTAGTTGGTTTCGTTTCCACTTTTCGTGGTCTTCTTCTTTTTTTTTGTCTTTAAAATTTGGTTTTATTTAACTTTCAAAATGTTTTGTTTTGTGGATTTTTATTTATTATCCCATTTTTCCTCTTATTCAAAATTAGCATATTCTATTTGTTCGTTTAATATAGAATGTGTATATGTGTGACCGAACCGTTGATTTATTTGTTGTTTGGATTAGAGAGAGAAAAAAATTGTTTTTCTCGCACGAAAATATTATTATTTAATGAATTATTATCTGTAAGATGTTGAAATTTTGTTTGTAATACTTGTTAACATCATTTGCATTTCCTTTTTTAAGTAGTCTATTTGTATAGACTTTTCACTTATTTTCATATATATATATATATATATATATATATATATATATATATATATATATATATATATATGTGCATGGCTGTTAGAAGTGAGTGTGTGAATGGAACGTGGGAAGAGAGTGTAAGAATGTGTTTTTTTTTAATATTCAATGTTGAAGTATCAAATATTTTCGGTGATTGATAAAAGGACTTAGTCTATTTACTCCGAAACAATAAGTGACTAGTTTTAATATAACTAAGAAAGGTTATGAAGAACTGACAGTTATAAAGTGGTCTTTTCATCATGTCTATAATACCATCCTAACTATTGAATTTAAGATCAATGATCCGTATTTTTAACTTGTGACTACAATCTATTCTGTATGGAAAATAGCTTCATCCTACTTTCAAAATAGTTGAACTTCACGCCAGTCACTATTGTATTATATTAGAATTATAAGAACTCGAATCAAACGTTAAATATTTAGAAGTGATTGTCGTGAAACCCTGGACCGGAATGTTTCGTGCTAGTTGGCACTTGTTAACAAGGCCTACCTGTGATATTTAGATAGCTGAAGTTTTCTGTAAGGTTCTAACTGTCAATATCATAGGTTCGTTTTGTCGACAAGTGCCAGCTAGGATGAATTCTAATTCTACGGTTTGTTCTGTTGACTACTTCCAACTACATAACACCAAAACAAAATCCACGTAATATTGAGTTATTTTGACTAGTGGTCACACCTCAGCCTGATCCGCAGAATTCGATCTATGTTAACGATTAGGCAACATGATATTAGTCACTAGTCAGTGATTAAACACTTGTAATTTTAACTCAAATACTAGTCGTACGATTGAGTTTATAATTTACATTTGCATTTATTGATTTACATGATTCATTGTTGTAGTTATTTATTTACCAATATGGCGTTGTGGAGATTTCTGAATTTTAGTGAAATCATGAACCGATCCAAGCTATGCAACCGTGGAAGCATTGCATAGCCGTTTCGCCCTTGTGTGAGACTCCTCAGCGGTGCGCATCCACGACTCCGCAACTGGGAATCGAACTCAGGACCTCTGGTCTGGCGCGCGTACGCCTACTTTCTATATCATTGAGCACGTATCCAATAGTGTATAAGTCTCACTTCCAACGGATTTAACACATTTTTTGTATATCTATACAACTTGTTTTTTTTTTCTCGTTTTTTTTACTGTAGATGCAGAATCATTATCAATTAGTCAACTACAAACTGATCGATCTCAGGCTGTATTAGCCGCAGCTTACGCTGATCGTGAATTCGTAACATCAAATTCAACACTGGGTAAACTGAAATTATCTTCTCAAGGTATAATGATCAGTAGTGGTAGTGATCGCAATAATAATTCGACTGTACCAAGTTCATTAGTCAGTTCATTACAATCTACAACAAATATCAATTGTCTGTCTGACAGTTATAATAGAAATGCCCAACATTTCAATATGCCACCTAATCCAATCATACAACGTCATCATCATTTAAGTTCTATGCCTCAGTCATCTATCGGTACATTAGAATCATCAACTACCCTGCATAATTCCAAGTCAAATTCCATAAGTTCCAATCTTTCTTGTTCCTTATCATCAGATTCAATGATGAATAAAAATTTCGGTTCTTTCCCTTTCAAACTCGTAAGTGTGAATCAGTTATTATTATTATTATTTACAAATCTATTTGTAAGTTGTTTGTATGCACCGCCGTGAATTTATATTCACACTAAGAGTTGAAACTAGTATTTTTCGCTTGCTACACCCAACTTGTTATCCACTGAGGTGTAAATATGTTCCAAGATTTTATGAAAAGAAGAAATTGTTTATTCATTATAAACCCTTTTTTATCCATTCACTGCAACATAACCATTGGTAGATATACTTTGCGCTGAGAATCCTATATTGTACCAAAAATTTAATATTGAATGAAGCTAATAATAATATGCTTGGTACATTTGTTAGCTGTTCGTGTTTGGTTTGAAATAAAAGACAAGTAAATTGGTGAGATTTTATTGAATAAAATTATATAGTTTATATCATTAACTGAATTTGGCTTAACAACCACTGGACTCTGTAAAACTCACTGGATAACAGTGTTTTGGGGACTCTCCTTATCAGCGTGCACTAATCCAATCCAAGCACTTAATCAAAGATCTTTAAGTCTTGAAACATGCGTTCGCGTTACCTTTGAACTAATAACTTAGAACTTAATTGATCAAATGTCTGGATCCAGCCCATTCTCATTATAGCGCCATTTTTAATAGTCAGTGATGATGACCATCTTATTGTCAACATTATCAAACCCTACTAATCATGACCAGTCTAATGGATTTTCTACTTTTTGAGAATATATATATGTATATATAACTATGCTTATGTTTAAAATATTATTGCGTAAATCAAGTAGAAGATAAAAATCCATTTGAATGCCAATACCCTTAATTGCAAGTTTTCTTGGCCCTTTATCACTTTCAATTATTTTTTTCTAGTTTAATGGCGATCTACACAATCCTGTCTCGTCGTCTTCGTCCTCATCGTTGTCTACACACAATGATCGTAATATCATGATGGGATTGCATAAACCAGAATATATGCCATCAGAATCGGTGCTTCGCCCTAATTTTCCACCTCCTCTTCAATTAATACCACCACCACTCCCTCCAAATATACCTCCGGAATTTTTAAAATCATTTCTTGTACCTGATTCTTCATCATCATTATTTCCGGGTCCCAAAGTTAACGTTACTCTAAACTCATCATTTTTACCTTCCAATCCAAACTTACAATCCACACAACCGTTGTATTCCCCTATGAGAGTTAATCACCCTAATCGATCAGATAAAACTAATTATACTGGTATTCTACACCGTCCAGTTCATGGGGATAAGGTAAAAAGTGTTTTAGTTAGTTTTTAAGGCTTTTATTTCTGAAAATATTGCTTACTTATTCACCTTAATTTACCACTGAGTAATAACTGTCATCATATCTATCTAATTCCTATCACTCGTTACATTTTGTTGATTAATTTACAATGTAGCCAATAGTTTAAATGACAACTACTTTACTGTATTTTAATGTTATTTGGTCGAGAACAGACCTTATGGACCTTCGTTCCATACTGGTTGATATATTTACAGTTTTGGAGGGACTAATGCTTCTCACGAGCTCTGAACCCACATATTCACCCATTTATACACATACATATTTTGGAATATATGTAATCTTATGGTTTACATTCATTACCTTAGATAGACAACCTTTTAAACCAAGAATGGCTGGACAGCTGTTTCGTCCTGATATAGGTTTTCTCAGTTGTACATAGCCAAAACCCCAATACTGATCAAACTCATACAGAGCTCTCCGTGAGACCTACAAATCCTGGGTTCGATCTCTGGTGATAGCCATAGATGAACACTTTATTTACCATACTAAGACTTAACAAATATATAGGGTCTGCTGGTTTTCACTGTTTGTTTAACTAAGGTCAGTTTGTGATGTAGGCTTTCAAATTCAACTATTTCCGTAAATCCCTTGTTCACTCGAGTATGTAATGCAATGTAAAATTGCTTAATCGTAGCTTAGTAATTTCTTAATAGTAGAGAATCATAAAAATGCACCACACAAAAAAACTGTGTCATGAAAAAATACAATATGGAATATCATGTGATGATCATTGGAATACGAATTGGATTAATAAAGGGTACAATGCACATAAAAAATACTATTAGAATAGATTTTGTCAAAAGTTTATCTTACTGCTTAAGTATGAAACAAGCAGTCATTAAATACAACATACTGAACACCAACCAAATCACATTTGTTGCCGAAACTCTGAAAGATGTACAAACTCCTCCTTACGTAGACAAGGGGGGAACTGATGCAAATATAAGGGCATGGATGGATAAAGCATAGGCAGTATTCCTATCAGTGAAAAACATACGCAACTCAAAACAACTGACAACCAACACCAAGGTCAAAATTTTCGGTACGAACTTCAAGATAGTTCTTTTGTACGGAGTTGAAGCATGGAGAACTACTACAAGCATCACTAAAGAGGCACAAATATTAAAAAACAGTTGTTTACACAAGCTACTCCAAACCCGCTGTGAAGACACCATCAGCAGCAACCTACCGTGGAAAAGAATAAACCAGCTTCCATCTGAAGAATAAATTAGGAAAAGATCCCTTAGGTGGATAGGGCACATTGTTGAAATCATGAGGCACTTGAGAGCAATGAGGAAGGACAGTTCGGGAAAATTTAGACTAGAGATTCGTGGTCGGCGGCCTATATACCACTAAGGTAACAGGCGTAAACATGTATGAAACACATAAAATTGAAATTCATCAGAATTATCACTCACAACATTTTGACTCCATGTTTAAAATAGTTTTTATGGTACGAACCAGTCTATCTCAATACCATAATTTATGATTCACATTGAGAAATGAATGCAATCCAACTACCAGTTGATTCATTCATATGACAAATGAACTGTTTGTTGAAGCTTTCCACTCAGTCCTAACATCAACAACTAGTTCCAAGTAACGGTTTATGTTATTCACAAGTAAGTCATATCAGTAGTTAATTAAATTTAAGACTAATGAAATTCAGGTTTAAGTAGTAGGGAGAGTGAATAGCAGGTGGCATATTGGTCATTATGTTTATATCAATGTTTGTTAATAGTCTGTAAATAATAAAAAGAAAAGGAATTGAGGATGATTTTCAAAGGATCTTATCCTGTTGTGTTTGTTAGCTTCCTGAAAAACTATTATCCATTTTTAAAAAAAGTATTCTACCTTTCTGCTAAAGTTCCCAGTTAAGAACACTGTGTTTATCAAGTGAACTTAGTATTAATTTCATACAGATTTTGCTTACGATTGAACCAATTTTAGAATGGATTCGAGTATTATTAATACATTAGCTTTTGTAGATAGGTAATAACGAGATAAACGACTGGTATTCATGATCTAGTTCGTTAGTGTATCTTGCAACAGACATATGCTAAAGTTCGATCCTGCGAACCGCCGCCCGCGTAAAAAATCACATGAAACCTTTTTTCTTTTTTCTAGCTTTTACAAATATTGTAGGCCAAATCCCTAGGTTTGTACGTATTGTCCTAGTTTGCGATCAGTAACTACTCATTCAACTAAATGGGATTGGTTCGAATTTGGTTGATGAGGTTGTATAGCTTCATTGATCGAGAGTTGGTCGGAACACGTATTACGTTAGTCCAGTCAACGCCTACCTTGATGCACTATGTTCATTATAGTGAGGGTTGGTTTGAAGAAAACTGGAGTCAGTCAATCTAAAACGTGACACCAATCCATGAAGTCATTGACTATTGGATTGAGTTGTATTAATAGGGTCAGACTATCTAGTTTGAATTCGCACTATAAACTTGATCAGTGTTCGGAGACGTTGAGCGACATAATCCAATATTGTATGCGATTATTCAGACGTATTCACTCTATTTGCACTGAAGTCTTATGTTTTAAAATCATCTTATAATTTTTTACACCTCAATATTTATTCTTTTTGAATGATATTGTTTATGCATAATGTTGTATAGTACCACTAATCCTGTCACTACTTCTACTCTGGTATTTGTATTGTTAATTACGTCTCCCGGTACTACGGATATGGTTTGGCAACTTGAAATGATTCAAATATATCCCAAACTCTGTATTGTGTATGACTAACTGACTAATTAACATTTTACTATTTATTGCAAAAAATTATGTTGGAATTGATTGGTATACTTATTATCAAATGCAATCGATTCGCAATATTGTGCGATAATCACACAGTGTAATTTAGAATATCTGTCTCTTATTTCTTTCATGATAACGTACATATTTTAACTTATTTTTCATACCATATGTTTTCGTATACTTATTTTTACTTAATCAAGCTTTATGGACGTTGGGCTGACGCACACATTCGTATCGCTCTGTTTATCCAACATTGTAAATCATCTACTCAAGGATTACAATCATCTCCGGTTATATCCTCAATATTTTCAACATCTAGATTACCAATTCGTCCTATGGTTAAACGTTTGAGCCTAGGTGTACATTCCTCTATGCCTTCTTCCATGACTAGTGGAGCTGTAAATTATAATTCAAGTAAAATAAATATTGAGTCAGTGAATAACAATCGATCAACTCAGCCACCGCCACTAAGACCTCCTTCTCTTCTTCCTTCACAACTTCATAATCCCATTAATTCAGTGAACAGTAATAATAATAATAATAATAATAATAATAATAATAATAATAATAATAATAATAGCGGTCCTTCAATTCCTAGTAGTATAACCTCTGATATATCATTTTGGGGACATTTATTTAATGAATTTATGAATAATCTATCAAAGGAATTTCTAAATAGTATACCAGACTGTAAAGATACTCAACTAGCAACATTACAAAACTTTTATTCTCAAATGTCACAAATGAATAATTCTGTATTAAATGGAGGTTCTTTCCCGAAATCAACAGATTTTTCTTTTCTCAATTCAACAGTATCATCATCATCTATGGCTAACAATAGTAATAATAACAATTGTTCACCAGTTCCATCAGCGTCAAATATTGCCGGCTTCAACTTTCCATTAATTACTCAATCTTTCAATTCCCTTTCTTCTTCCTCCTGTTCTTCTTCTTCTTCTGCTACTACTACTACTACGAGTGTTCGACCAACTGTTCTTCCTTCATCTCCTGCTCTTATGAATTTTTCATCGTCAACAAATGTTTTTAATAATAACGATTTAAAACGAAGACGAACTGATTCTTCTTCAAGTAGCATGGATATTAATAATTTGCCATTTCCAATGCGTTTTCCTAATTCCTTTCCTCGACCACCGACTATTCATAATTTTGTGCCTCATCAGCATTCTTCCCTTCATTCTGGATCATCAATACCACCACCTCCAGCACATTCCGATATGATAAATGTAGCCGCCGCTGCTAGTTTATTAAATGGATTTCGATTGCCTGAAACCTTTTTAAATCATTTCCCACATCCTATACAGTTATCATCGGTGTCAAGTGGTTCTTCTTTGAATGATAGAAAAAACGCCAGGTCATCCAATACTACTACCGGTACTATTACGACTTCCAGTAATTCATCACATTTAATTCCGATCAATCCTTGGTGATTTTAATCACATTGTTTGTCTATTTTTCTCCCGATCAATAGTTTATAACTTGTTTCAAAATGGTGATTTTATTGTTATTAGCTAATTCAATCCTAGTGAAGAGAAGATAGGTATGTGATTACGATGATGTTGATAGTGTATGTGTATGAGTGTGGGGGAGGTAGGTGCAAACAAAAAAGGATCAGTTTTCATTTCAATTCTTCCTTTCATTTAATTGTGTTCTTTTACTTTTCCTTTGTTTATTTATTCAAACATGCAGAGATTTACTTTCGCTATTATATATATATATATAGCATATCTCAGCAGTACAATGTTCGGTTACATTTTCTGTGTACTTCTTTATAATTATTATTCATTATTCTTTGTGTGGTTTGCTTCCTACACTATATTCATATCCTTATCAGATAATACACCTATCGTCATCAGCATCATGAATAGCCAATCACGATAAAGGTGCATGTAGCATTGTTGTTGGATAATCTCAGCTATTTTTCTTTTAATTTCAAAAACAGAAACATCACCTCCTCTAACATGTACACAAACTATGTAGAATGGAGTTAAATATTTTTTCTCCGGTAGATTTCATTTCAGAATCATGTATATTAATCATTATTAAAATTTGACAAAATGAAGTTTCAGTACACCATAATACATATAAATAAATACAAAAGTCATAATAATGTCTTCTTGTCTATTCTTTTCACTTGCGTTCTTTTTTTCGCCTTTTTTGTCTATTGACGATTATGTTTTGTTGTATATTAATGTGAAACATAATGAATGAGCTATAGGGAATGTGTGAGTGTATGAGAGAGAATTTTATATCAACGAAATCACTATATATCTCTTTTTTTTTTGTATACCTCCCTTTCTTCTTGTCCTTACTTTCATACTTCTGACCTTCAAATGACACTACTACTATTAGTACTTAGTTACATTAGTTAAATAGATAAATAGACAGATAATCAGTCGACTATTACTACTATCATCACCATTATTATATTGTATTATATTATAATACCTTTTATATTATACTCATCTTTTATTTTACACATTGCTTTGTAGACAGTTACATTTGTCATAATGTCCCCATTCACTTCTCTTCATCCATGTTTTTTTCTTCTATAAGTCTTTATACCCTGAGTGCTTCTGTTATAGCTTGTTCTTTTACCCGAAGAAGAATGTATCCTTTAGGCGTCATAATGATAATTGAATTTAATTATTTTTATTATTTCATTTTTTGTGTTATATTAGCTGAATCATATAGTTAATTGTGGTTAATATAAATTAACATTCAATTTTTCATTAGTTTAACAACAATAATAAATACTTTCCTACTAACTATTGTCATTTATTAATTAAATTGCCTCTTTAAAAATATTGTTAATATACTTTGAGATTAGTATTGTCAATTTCATTGTGTTATATTCTCATCCCCAGTTATGATTAATTACATAAATGGATAATAATGCAAAACAAGCAAGGACTATTGAATACGTACAAATATACTGAAAATATTGTAAATTTAATGGCTGTTCAATTGTTCATTATTATTATTATTATTATTAGCATTATTTTCATTTTGTTTTAATCTTTCATAATGATCAGTTTGACAACGATGATTACTAGCTCTAACATAGAGTTTACGTTATTTTACACAATGGAAATAATGTTTTGGTTATGGTAGTAGTAGTAATAGTAATAGTGGTAAATTGGTTAATCTGATCCTTTTTTTCAGTTTGTCTCTATGTTCATTATTATTATTTCACTGGTTCCATCTTCTTTCTTTCCATTTTCCATCCAAACTGCATCTTTACCCTGTGTATCTTGTGCTTCATAGTGAAGCAACAAAAAAAACAACAACTCAAAAACGTTGTAAGTAAACCACCAAATCCAAAGTTTTCCCTGTTTTTTTTTCGCTGATTATTATCGCTGTTGTGGTTATTGTTTATTATTGCGTTCAGTTCTTTATTTTTCCAAAATCAAAATCCTGTTTTTTTTCGTATGTCATTTTGTTTTCTATACATGTGCATTCATGGGATACTGGTAACGGGAATGATAGTACGTAGTGTTCTATGCGTGTGTGTGTGTGTCCCTCTACATAAGTGTAGCAATATGCATAGACATGAACATAACACTATATACATGGATTATCATTGTTATTATTATCAAATGAAAGTTATTTAAGAATCGTTACTTTTCTCGTGAACATAACGATGCGAGAAAATTACTGTAGTTATTGGCCGTTAATTTTCGATTATAGAAATGTAAAATAATTAATCACAACAATTTCTAATATTTGATATGTGATTATTAAGTAACTTGGTAATTGTTTATACCTTTATACACCAACTATACGCTTATAATGTTATAATATTAACTATTTCTATGTATAGATGAAATGATATATATGTTTATCTACATAAGTAATAATATTAGACAAATCCAGTATAGTTTGAATGGAGGAGACCAGCATTATACTATGAATACTTCAACGAACAGATTTACTAGAATAAATAATTACTGATCATGACTTAATAAGAAAAAACACATTTACTTTGATCAATTGATTGATGAAGTAGGATTTTGATTTCAAATGTTAATTCTTAATCCGTAAATTGTCGAAATAATATTACCTGTGAATGGTTTTCTATTTGTGTGTTATTCAATAAAATAAGCATAACTCACTGAAATAGTTTCCTTTTGTTTATCGTTTTAAATTGGTTGAAAGTCAGTGTAAAGATGTTTGTTTTTTGATAAATTAAAATTCTTAAAAGTTACAGTCTAAATTCCTTGTGATTCAGTGAGATCTAAGATTTTTTAAAAGTTTAACAGTTGTATTATTCTGGTATTAATTCACTTGGTCATATAAGTAATCTATGAATAGATCATCGATATAAAGGATTATTAGAACTAATTATCTATCAAAATATAAAGTAGCTTAAAATAACCGAAAAAACAACTCATTGACATTATACCCATATATCACCAGTCAAAGGAGTGAGATGTGCAGAAATTATGTTACACACCTGTTTTTTCTGTATATTTCTTTATGGTCTCGAAGCATAACTTACTGAACTAAGATATCTACATAGTTTACTAACAGGATTCGATTGTACATATCACCGAAGTATTATTCATATATAAATGGAACTTTCGAATAAGTGAGTAACGCAGAATTTCAGTGCATCATGCTAATAAGAAAGGAACAGGTCCATCATTGAGATTAGTTACAATCTATCTATTCCACAAAAACAGTCATGATATATTATTTTCTTATTAGGTTTTATTTTGTTATTCTATTTATACCGACGTCCTTTCTTGAGTACCTCTCACCGTTTTCATTATTGCAATATTTTATAGTTCGCTATATTTTTGTAAATCTATTGTGTTCCCTACTAAACTAGTAGGATTATGAGATCATATAAATCCCCATTAATATGTTTATTTATATATGTAAGTATGGGTAGCCTAGTAAATGCATTGTGATACAGTTATTTTATAATTTATAGCATGATTGCTTCTTCATATAATTCATTTTAGAAATTAATTAACTTATCCTATGATTTATGACGCCTTCATTATATGTCAGTTTGAAAATGAATACATCAAAATACAGAACCAAATTATGTCATTTCATAGGTTGAAATATAAAGCAAAGTCACTTAACATCAACCTGATATTGTGATATTTATAGAGATTTTCATTCTCAATTGTAATTTAAAATCGAAGCTTATTAAGTTGTTATCAATATGGGGTTGTAAAGATTATGAAGTTGTTGAGATCATGAATCGATTGATGTTAGACCATCATTGAAAACCTGGAAGCACTGAACGGCCATTGGTTTTTTAGTAATTTATAATATACTCTTATTATCATTGTATAAATGATTACTAATTATTACCACCATTTGATTATAATGTTCAATGTTTGATACACGTTTAGTTTGCATTATTTTAATTATTAAATATATATTAAGTTCATTTCATACAAGTAAAAGATGTCAGATTATTTAACATGATTTTATAATCAATATTAACTATAGTTAAATTTCTATAGTGTAATAAGAAGACGAAGATTATCAGAATTATGTAATGATATATTAGCGCAATGCATTTCGAACAATCTGATCGCACATATGCTTGTTAAGAATATATATAAGGTCAACTAGACTAAAAATGAAAGGTAACAGGTGATAAGAATAATAAAGAAATAATGTGAAAACAATTTGGAACCTCATCACTCTGGATAAAGTGTGAACAAACTGTTTTTGAATACACAGAGGGGGTTTGAATTTTCGCATGGCTGAGGTTTCAATAAACCTTAGTATACACCCTTTTACACTTTTATACAACACCACAAAAATTGAGTTAAATTAATGCGATCATTTAATGATTACTTAAATAAATGAATTTTAATTTATTACTGTAAATTGTCAATAATCCTATCTTTTTTTTGTATTGATAAATATATTTGAACGATAGTACAAGTGAGTTAAATGTGCATAGTTGATATACAAACCTTCTACTAAGAGAGATAATATTCTACTTCCTGTACAATCTGAAAATTCAATTATGGTTACTGTTTTTGAATGCATACTGTTAAAGATATCATAACTATACTAAAGCACCTATTTAATATTCACTAGTTTCAGGTCACTACTCTGTAAACTATAATCAGAATAATCTAAATTAATACACGTATACAAATGGATTTGTTGTTAGTTAGTATATGACCAGGGATTACTTCTTTCAGAATAAATGCTAGATTACGAAGAGAGAGTTCTTATCACGTACTAACAATAACTTTAGACGTTTTGAAAACTAGAGAGTATTGGATAAATATTTCTTTATAGTTTACGATTCTTGATCAATGATTACCCACAAACCCTCCATTTATTGAACCGAAAAACCTCGTACCTGTAGAGGACCATGTTACTGATATCGTAGCTTTGAACTAATTTCCACAATCAACGCAACTGGAAGAAATATTATGGGTTAAATATTTGAGAGAGAGAAAAAAAGAACAATTACTAATCAATAATTTCAGATAGGTTTTGTGGATATTATGGTAATTTCAATGGTTAAGATCATGAGTCAGTTGACGCTAGACCACCATGGAAAACCTGAAGGACTGGACGACCGTTTCGTCCTACTGTGGGACCCCTCAGCAGTATGCATCCACGACCTCGCTCCCTGCGAGATTCGAACCCAGGACCTACTGGTCTCGCGCGCGAGCACTTAACTACTAGACCATTGAGCCGGCATCTAACGGTGTTAATGTTTAATTTCAACTAATCCACAAAATTGAGCGACACATCCACCATTGTCTTTATTGAGTTACTATTTCATAACAGACCTGGTTGAACTCCACTGGTCACTACTTCTCACTAGAACTCCAGGAAATACCTCTTGAAGCCAGTCACTAATGAGCATATGTTGATTAATATCAGATGGGTTAGTTGAAGTTCGACATTAACACCGTTGGATGCCGGCTCACTGGTTAAGTGCTCGTGCGCGAAACCAACAGGTCCTGGGTTCGAATCTCGCAAGTAGCGAGTTCGTGCATGCGTACTGCTGAGGAGTCCCACAATAGGACGAAACGGCCTTGGAGTGCTTCCAGGTTTTCCATGGTGGTCTATTTTCAACTGACTCATGATCTTAACCATTGAAATTAATTATTTACGGATGGTTGATTAAAGTGTAAAACACTAAATAGATATTTTTCTTCTATTAAAAAACCATTATGTTAAGCTTATAAATATCATAGTAGATCACGTTTACATAGATATCACATATGTATGCCTTTTATATGTAAGAATACAATTTAATAGTTAAGATAATAATATTGGCAGTAAAGCTTTTCTTAGTATTACATCTATATACAATCTGGTAAAGATTCAACTTGTACATTACATAAATAGATATTGTCAAAATCACTCTAAGATTCAATATTGTATTTACGAAAGACAATTCATATTTGTTCATACATGTATGTATATATAAAGAAAGAATTTTAAGAAACTACTTTTATCTTATACATTAGTTAAAATTAATTTGATTTCCGTTTTAGGTAATAAATTTAGTTTTTAAGACATGTTATGCTTTCTTTAATTGTGTAGAGTTTGATCGATTGTTCATTTGTTCTGATGGCTTTTCAATTGAAGGATGATTAATTGAGTGTAGGACGTCTGTTAGATTTGATCTGATGAGCAATTATGATAAATCGGTCTCATATCCTTATTCTATCTGGTTTTTAATAGTTAAAACCAAATCAGTATTTTAATGAGTACAGAGACGATGTGTTTACTAATACTGAACAACAGGGGGCCAATGATCATCGCACTAGTTATTATTAGTCGTAAATAAAACACTTGTCAGTATAACTGAAATAAACTATTTAATATAATCAAATTCTGAAAGCCTTCCATGAGTCAGTAACAGATTTCAATTCATTTTAGCATCGATTATACTGAGAATGGATTTTTTTTTAATGCAGTAATATACTAATTACAAACAGTGAAATCAGTAAGATACCTTTAAATCACTGACAGTGTGCATTTTCTAAAATGATCGTATGCATTTCATTTATAAGCCCCTAATATTATTTTAAGACTACATTGCATTCGTTAAATTAAGTGAGCTTCACTACACCATACGTGAAATAAGCTTGTCAGGGACATTATGGTTTCCAGTTATAACACACAAAAAACAAATTAAAGGAATATTTTGCTGGGTTTATTGTCCAGTTTGCAAACTGTTGTCAGTTACTGTACCAATCCATAGATGTAGTTCCATAACCCATTATTATCATCCATCCAAAAGGTTTGTGAAGAGTGTTGAGTTCCATAGTTTACATCATGAGCTGACCTTAGATAGATAATTATTAAAAGGTAGAAAACTCTGGACAGCTGCTGTTCCTAATACGGGACTCCTCAAAAGTGCACATCTATGATTACGTGCGGTATCGAACCAAGAACCTCCAGATTTCTGTGCAAGCGTCTAACCTTCAGACCACCGATTTGGCACTCGATGATTTACACTTATAACTTCAGTCTATTCACAGTATTGTGCAAGTATCTTCTGACGCCAT